AAAACTGTTCAATACCCTACAATATGAGTATTTCCGGATAGGGGACGACGTGTAGAGGCCGGAAACCGATGCTAGACGCCATTTTAAAAACCAAGATGGTGGCCATCGGTTTTAAGAAAAACTGTCAAATATCCTACCATGTGGGAATTTCCGAAAAGAGACGACGTGTAGAGGTCAGATATACATTCCAGACACTATTTTGGAATCCAATATGGCGGCAACATGTTTTCCATAAATAAGGCTTACCAAGAATATTGCGTATAATATATTGTGTATAGCGTATCATTGAGAAAAATCGCAACGTAACGTGGAAAATTCCTCAAAATAATAAAACGTTTTGATTTGTTTTGTTTTTTCTATCGTAAACTACAGATTTATTCCCCATTTTATTTTCTCTTTCGATAACAAAGAACCAACCAGCGCTGTCATGTTTTATGCATTCTAGTCACTCTCGTTCTTCCACTCCGTGAGAAGGGTCTCGACTTCCCTTAGCAAATGTTGCATTTTTGCACTCTGTTCAACATTGCTGTCCAATGTGCAGAAACTTTCGACCTCGGAGAGTTGATGTAGTTTTAACTCGATTTTTGTCGCACCAGGTGGTGGATGAAAATATCATCCATATTCACTGTAGAGGGGTCCAGAAATAAATCTGTAGTTTACAATAGAAAAAAAAAAAAAACAAAACAAATCAAAGCGTTTTATTGTTTTGAGGAATTTTCCACGTTACGTTGCGATCTTGCTCAGTGATACGCTATACACAATAAATTATACGCGATATTCTTGGTAAGCCTTATTTATGGAAAACATGTTTTTTTTTAACTAGTTCGTTTATTTGGAAGGCTCAATCGCGTTAGCTTTACGGGGCCGATAGTTCATTGTTCTTTGTTTGTAACAACATTCACTTAATTCTATGTCTAGTAGGAGTTGGGCCGAATACTCGCGGCTTACTCGAGGTTAGAGAGGTACATTGTCGAAGGATAGGATAAGGGGAGGAACTTGGGGGTAAGGTTTCGTTGTCTCATCAGAGCGTTGTCACCAGTATGAACGGTAGTACGGTTCTAGTTTCGTCTGGAGTTCGACCGGTGACCATGGAAAACATGTTGCCGCCATATTGGATTCCAAAATAGCGTCTGGAATCTATATCTGGCCTCTACACGTCGTCCTTTTTCGGAAATTCCCACATTGTAGGGTATTTGACAGTTTTTCTTGAACCGATGGCCGCCATCTTGGATTTCAAAATGGCATCTGGCATCGATTTCCGGCTTCTACACGTCGTTTCCTTTCCGGAAATACTCATATTGTAGAGTATTTGACAGTTTTTCTTAAACCGATGGCCGCCATCTTGGATTCCAAAATGGCATCTGACATCGATTTCCGGCCTCTACACGTCATCCCTTTTCCGGTTCCTGTTCTCACATTACACAGCAACATCTTATATGGACAAACTTTCGAGACATAACATATTAAGGAAGTTCATGTGCACACTAGCGCCACGTAGTGAGCGTGTTCTGAAATAATATGACCATCATCGGAAAGGACTTGATCACCCGCAAAACTTTGCTGAAAACAGCAACTTTCTATATGGCTAGGCTCTCGAGATACAGTTCATATAGGAATTGCACATGCACACTAGCGCTGCGTAGTGAGAGAGTTATGAACTAATATGGCCACCATCCGAAAGGACTTGGTCACCTGAACAACTTTGCTCAAGACAGTAACTTTCTATATGGCCAGGATCATGAAATATTTTATGTTGGAAATATGATCCATATATTATAGCGCCCGTCATAAGTAACATAAAAGTGAAGCACCTCTAGCGGTGTAGTTCCCAATTTAACCTGAATCCAATGGCACAGGCTTGTTGGTCTAACCCAGTACAGCAACTTTGTCGAAGAGAGTATAGCTTTATGTATTGAAACAAATGAGATAATTCACTACAGCCCCCATTAGTGAAAATCCCATAAGCTGTGGGTATCCTTATTCGCGGATAGCCCGGCAATAAGGAATCCGGCAATAAGGATTCCTGACTGTAGTTCTAAAAATCGTTATTCTGCATATTTTTGATAATTTTTTGTTTGCCAATTTGAAATTTGCACAGAAAATTACATTTTTTCATAAGCTTTTTAATAGACAATATTAAAACATATTGATGGCGGTGGTTTTGTGTTATTTGAGTTTAATCACTTTTCTGGATTTTTTTTTACAAATAGTTGAATTCAGTTTAAGCCACTATCTTGGATATAAAAATGGCGCTGGACATAGATTTTTGGTCTCTAGACGTCATCCCCATTCCGAAAATATCCATATTGAAGGGTGTTTAGCAGTATTTCCCACTTTTTCTGAAAACGTAAGCCGCTCTTGTCGTGCGTCAATGACAAACGCGACAATTCCCATACCTGAACTTCACCCAAGACAACAACTTTCTAGTACAGGGTGCCTTCCATTCATTTTGGCTAAAAAAATGTTTTGTGAAATTTTGGAATAATAAGATATTATGATAATATTTTGTTTGTGTACGCAACAAGAAAAGATTGTGAAGTTTGTGTTTGACACATAATAGCTGCCAATTTTGCTACATGAGAGTCACAATAAGCGATTTTGTCAGTTATCTCACCCACTCTTCGCTCTTCATTCTTCGCGAAGAGGCGATCAGAAAATCGCTCATTGCGACTCTGTCAAAGCTAAATTGGCAGGTTTTATGTGTCAAACACAAACTTTACAATCGTTTCTTGTTATTTACACATACAAAATATCATCATAATATCGTATTATTCCATAATTTCATAAACCATTTTTTTACCCAAGAATGGAAGGCACCCTGTTTCTAGATGGCTAGGATTTCAAGATATCACATAAACAATGAAATCACAAATTCAAGCTCACTAGTGCCGCGTTGTGAGAAAATTCCGAACTTCTGTATATCAATCATTGTGTCTTGATCTACTGAACAACTTCGCTCAAGACAGCAACTTTCTAGGTGGCAAGGATTTCAAGATATAACACGAACAAGAAAATCACAAATTCTAGCACACTAGCGCCGCGTAGTGTTCTCCAACCATTAGGTCTTGATTCACTGAACAACTTCACCCAAGACAGCAACTTTCTAGATGGCAAGGATTTCAAGATATGACATAAACAAGGAAATCACTAATACATGCACACTAGTGCTGCGTAGTGCGAAAATTCCGAATTTCTCTCCATTAACCATTAGGTCTTGATCTACTGAACAAATTCGCCCAAGACAGTAACCTTCTATATGTCCAGGATCGCGAGATATTCCATGTTGGTCCCTATTAGGTCAAATCCCAGATGCTATGTGTACTGAATTATTCGAGACCAACGTAAATGGAATTTGTGTAGACCGAGTTCGCGTTCTTCGGGGAAGAGTGTAGTTCAGCCCAATAAGTTACTTTTGAGTAAATTGCATGCTCTCAAATTTGCGTGAATTAAACTTAATTTTGGGTAGAATATACTTAGAAGTAAGTATTTTTTTTGCTGATGTTAAATGAAAACTACTATATGCGATTTACTCAAATATGCGTTATTGGGCTGAATCCGTGAATTGAGGGAAAAGTACTTAATTTTGGGTAGTTTTTCATCTCCATATGGGTACAGCTTTCCCCCGAAGAACGCGTTACCCACTGAGTTCTACCCACCGCTTTATCTCGGTGGGTTTTCAACCAAGCGCTCTGATTTTCTCCGAGTAACTAGTTCTCCATTGACACTACTCAATACAAATAATCAGACCGACTGGTTGAAACCCCGCCGAGAAAAGGCGGTGGGTGCAACTCAGTGGGTAATACCCCGTTCACATTACAGCGTATATCACGTGATATACGCTGTCTTGCAATGAGCACTCATACATCTATTGTTCACTGGAAATCCTATGTATGAGTGCTCATTGCAAGACAGCCTATATTACGTGATATAGGCTGTAATGTGAACGGGGTATAATGCGTTCTTCGGGAGATAGCTGTATATGCGGATGTGGGATATGAGGGTTTGGTACCGAGTTATTTTTTTTATCTTCTGCTCTCCAGCGGATCCATCTCGTCAGTTCCGAGTTCTTTTCATAATAACTGCATTGACTTCCTGGTTGCGTACAAAATTCACTCAGATGATAAGTACAAATCAGGAGGTAGGAAATCTCGAAAAGTATTGCGTGTTTCACACTCACATTTCACAGCGCATGTTTACTAGTAACAAATCTAGTCTTCTCCTTGACATAGTCTAGACTCTACTGGGACCTCAGCTGATTGGTGTCCTTTCACCATCCACACACAAATCGATCGCATAATAATCGGGCCGTTCATTGTACTGCATTTCAACATAAGCCCGAATAGCCACTTATTACACAGCAGACTGGAAACGATGTATACCGCCTCCCACCATAATTCACGCCCACGCTTCCCCATTGTCCCATCTAGCAAATACAACCGATTCAGCAGAGTAACAACGCAGGCCAAAGGATTCCCTCATTTAATATTCATCAACCTCCGCGCACGGTTGCAACTCGGTTCCGGACGGGTAACATTTCAATTACCATGTAGCAGCCGTCCGTAGTCGGTCATAAAACTTCAAGAGGATCACACCACATACACTTCACCTTACCTGATCGGCGATCTTCGAGGTAGCGAAAATCGAAGGGTACGAAGTCGTCGACAACGACAATGAACCCATCAGGATCCTGGCGACTGCCAATGCACTTTGGCGACGAAGACGACGGCGGAAACGATAAGAAACTTTCCCACCTCTTTGATGAATAATTGAACCGGATTTTCTTCTGCGGACGAGCCGGCCGCCGTTGTCGTTGTGGATTATGTTAGAGTTTGAAGTGTACAGGTGGAGAACGGGCGGGCAGAGATAGATAACCGTCGTCGGTAGTAACATATTTGACGCCGGCTTACAGTTTTTTTTTTCGCAAATTGTGACAAGTGCACCGACACCGACTGAGCCACCAAGGGTGGATTTCGAGTGTTGGCTTAATAAGAGGCTAGTCTATATATTGATGACGGCTCAGTTGCTTCGAATCAATACGGGCGATAACATCTAATACGAAGCGAGCGCGCCCTACGCCAATCTGCCGAACTGTCATCTTGCGAAGTGTATTAATAATGAAGACATTGGATATTGTTTTATCGTGTGTGCTTGCGGGGGTGATCTTAGTTAGTGGTAGCCCATTGTTTTACAACAGGTGCGTTGCACATTGATCTAAAGTTTTGAATGGTTAACTGTACTAAATGAGTGATTTTTCTGTTTATTAATTCAGCAATCGGCCTATTGTAGTGGTGAGCAAGTTGGATATTACGGATTCGACTATCGATCATGATCGGATTAGTACCTTGGTGGATAATGATGCCGAAGAACAGTTCGTGACGGAAGTGGTCGTCGACGTGGCCGAAAATGAAGTCGACAAAGATGAACGAGTGACAGTTACCGACGGTAAATGGAAATCGATGTCGACGACGACGGCGGTTGACGATAAAGTGGAAAATGAAGATGAAACGGATACTACGAGTGATGTTGGCACGACGCAAACAGAATCTACGCAAGATGTGACAGCAAGTGAAACTACACTAATTGAAACGGAAACTAGTGAATCGGTAACTGATAGTACGGTTTCGGAAACCGAAACTCAAAGTACAGAGTCAGGAACGACTGAATCCACGCAAGCTACTTCGAACAGTACTACCGATTCTACAGAGGCTACTGAAACTGAAGCTACAACTCAAACGGAATTGGATTCTACGGCGGTAACTGATTCTACACCAGCTGCAACGGAATCGACAGAATCTGCTACGGCTACCCAATCCAGCCAAACTGAAAGTACTCAAACTGGTTCGGAATCTTCGGCGGCGACTACAACTTCTAATCAGACTGAAACTGAGAACACGGTGGAAACCACTGCAACGGAGACAGGATCAACTCATACTGAGACAGAGACTACGAATACTGAAACTGCTGCTGAGTCTACCGAAGGCTCATCGCAGACGGAAACTGAATCTTTGACATCTGCCGATTCCACCACACCGCAGACTGAAACTTCCCAATCTGAATCAGAATCCACGGGGACTACTCAAACAGCTACTACTGAAACTACAAAGACTACTGAAGATCTAACGCAAACGGAAACTGATTCCACTGCCACGGAATCTACTCAAACGGAGACCGAGTCTACTAGCACTGAAATGGCAACTGATTCAAGTGTAGGGCCAACGCAGACGGGAACTGAATCCACAGTGGTTACAACTGACTTAACTCCAACGGAAACTGGTTCCACGGAGACTATTCAAACGGAAACTAGCTCTACGAATACTGCAACGGAAACTGAATCCGCCGTATCGGAGACAGATCCAACGCAGACTGAAACCGAATCCACAGGGACTACTCAAACGGAAACCGCATCAACTAATACTGAAACGGCTACTGACTCAACTGAACTTCCTACGTCAACGGAATCTGAATCTACGGTAGTAAATACTGATTCTACGGCCACGGAAACTGAGGCTGCATCCATCACATCAACGAACTCTGAAACCGTCACTGATTCTACAGAAACTCCCACGCAGACAGGAACTGAATCTACGGTAGTAACAACTGACTCGACTGCTACGGAAACTGATTCCACGGTAACTACTGCCTCAGAAACCGACTCTACGAATACTGCAATTGAAACGGAATCAACTGAAGGATCAACGCAAGCGGAAACTGAATCGAGCGCACCGGAGACAGAACCAACACCAACTGTAACTGTTTCCACAGGAACTACTCAAACAGAGACCGAATCTACGAATACTGTAACGGCAACTGACTCAACCGAAGGTTCTACGCAGGTGGAAACTGAATCTACGATAGCAAACACTGATTCTACGGTCACGGAAATCGAAACTGTATCATCCACATCAGAAACAGAGTCTACGAACTCTGAAACCGTAACTGATTCTACAGTAGCTCCCACGCAGACAGGGACTGAATCGACGGTAGTGACAACTGATTCGACTGCTACGGAAACTGATTCTACGAACACTGCAACTGAAACGGATTCAACTGAAGGATCAACACAAGCGGAAACTGAATCGAGCGCACCGGAGACAGAGCCAACGCCAACTGTAACTGATTCCACGGGAACTACTCAAACGGAGTCAGAATCTACGAATACTGTAACGGCAACTGACTCAACCGAAGGTTCTACGCAGGTGGAAACTGAATCTACGATAGCAAACACTGATTCTACGGTCACGGAAATTGAAACTGTATCCACCACAGCAGAAACAGAGTCTACGAGCTCTGAAACCGTCACTGATTCTACAGTAGCTCCCACGCAGACTGACTCGACTGCTACGGAAACTGATTCCACGGTAACTACTGCCTCAGAAACCGAGTCTACGAACACTGCAACTAAAACGGAATCAACTGAAAGTTCAACCCATACGGAAACTGAATCCACCGTACCGCAGACAGAGCCAACGCCAACAGTAACCGATTCCACGGGAACTACTCAAACAGAGACCGAATCTACGAATACTGTAACGGCAACTGACTCAACCGAAGGTTCTACGCAGGTGGAAACTGAATCTACGATAGCAAACACTGATTCTACGGTCACGGAAATCGAAACTATATCCACCACAGCAGAAACAGAGTCTACGAACTCTGAAACCGTCACTGATTCTACAGTAGCTCCCACGCAGACAGAGACTGAATCGACGGTAGTGACGACTGACTCGACTGCTACGGAAACTGATTCCACGGTAACTACTGCCTCAGAAACCGAGTCTACGAACACTGCAACTAAAACGGAATCAACTGAAAGTTCAACCCATACGGAAACTGAATCCACCGTACCGGAGACAGAGCCAACGCCAACAGTAACCGATTCCACGGGAACTACTCAAACGGAGACCGAATCTACGAATACTGTAACGGCAACTGACTCAACCGAAGGTTCTACGCAGGTGGAAACTGAATCTACGATAGCAAACACTGATTCTACGGTCACGGACGTTGAAACTGTATCCTCCACAGCAGAAACAGAGTCTACGAACTCTGAAACCGTCACTGATTCTACAGTAGCTCCCACGCAGACAGAGACTGAATCGACGGTAGTGACGACTGACTCGACTGCTACGGAAACTGATTCCACGGGAACTACTGCCTCAGAAACCGAGTCTACGAACACTGCAACTGAAACAGAATCAACTGAAGGATCAACGCAAGCGGAAACTGAATCCAGCGTATCGGAAACAGAGCCAACGCAAACTGTTTCAACTACGCAGACGGAAACTGAAACTGAATCCACTGCCACTGGCACAGGGTCAACGCAAACGGAAACGGAATCAACCAACACCGAAGCTGCTACTGAGTCAACTGAAAGTTCAACGCTCACGGGAACTGTATCCACTGAAACGACCGTAACTGAAACAGAACCAACAGACACTTCACCAACGGCGACCGAATCTACAAACACTGAAACTGTAACTACTGATTCTACTGTAACTGCAACGGAATCTACAGAAACATCCGATGCAACCACCACGGGACCTACTCAAACTGGAACTGAATCTACGAATTCGGAAACTGAGTCGACTGAAGGTTCTACGCAAACAGAGACAGAATCTACCGTAACGACGGAGTCTCCCACTACAGCAACAGACACTACTACAGCTGAATCTACAGGAAGTGAAACGGGATCAACCCAGACAGAAACAGTGACGGAGACTGAATCAACACAAACAGCAACCGATTCGACAGCGGAACCCGAAACTGGTTCTACCGAGTCAACGCCACAAACGGAAACTAACTCCACTGAGACGGCACCCGTTACGACGGAAACTGAAACGGAATCAACCATTGCGTCCGGATCGACACAGACGAACTCTACTGCAACAGAGCCAACAGGAACCGAATCAACAAATTCCACAACAACTCAGGTCGTCACGGATCCAACGTCTGAAACTGAAACTGCCACCGCAACGGAATCGACTCCAGTAACTGCGACAGAATCGACGACGATGACGACAACGACGGGAGCTAGTACAACAACGACGACAACGACGACAACGACGACGCAATCTACCACGTCAACGGAAAGCAGTACGGTAACGGCGGCCGGCTCTACGGCTACGACGACTGCCGAGTCACAGGGAGCGTCAGCCGGATCCGTTACCAGTAGTGTGATTTGTCTACTGGTTGCTTTGGTCGTGTCGTTCGTTGCAGGTCACTAGAACGAGTGAATGAGCAAATAGTACTTGAAGCGAAAGAGTATCTCTGTTGCTGCCTCTTAAGACGGTTTTGTTAGGATTTGTTGTACTTATTCAGATAGCTTTTGTCCGTATTATACCTGTTGATATGTGATTGGAGTAATCTATTTATAATCGGTTGTATGTATAGCTAGTAATTCATGTGCTAAGTGTTACTTCTTAAGTATGGCGAGTCATTAGCTAGAAATTTGAAGCTATGTAATAAATTAAGTTTGATGTTTAGTGTGTTGTATTTTCTTTAAACTGACTATTTTCTGTGCGTTGATTTTAGGATTTTGGCGATTTTACTAGATTATTCTATTTAACACTTTCGGTAACTGAAAAAATCCCACCATTTCTCAAAAACTGAACATTGCACTAACAATAACTTCTTATGTCCAAACTTTCTGCAATGATTTGCTTAGCTGTGGCTTTGAGGAAAATGATGCTGCACTTTGGAGGTAAGTAATACCCCGTACAGACTATGGCTTATATCATGTAATATAGGCTGTCTTGCAATGAACACTCATACATCTAGTTTTCACTGGAAATCCAATGTATGAGTGCTCATTGCAAGACAGCCTATATTACATGATATAAACCTAGATATAAACCATAGTCTGTCCAGGGTATAAAACACTACGCGTCTCCATGGATTCAAAACTTCAAATTGCCAACGGCGCATGCTTCATGATAACATGGTGCACGGTTGATCAGACAAACTCAAAATTGCGTCGAGTCGACTCAATTTCGTCAAAAGTGGAATTATTCAGAAGTGAGTTAAATTGTTCGGGCTTTTCCAGGAAAAATTTCTCGAATATAAGGAAAATCGATAAAGGTTTCAGTCAGTTTATTAGTATACTAGGCTGAGCAAAATGTTCATAGATTTTCCTCATATTCGTGAAGCTTTTTTTTCAGTTTTTCCTCGGCATTAGCAACGCACGGCCTATTGGGTTTGGGTTCTATTGGTACTACTCCTAGGCTTAATAAAATATGAATTTTCTCATCGCTGAGTTCCTGCACTTTTTGCGATTGATGAGTAAACTGAACTCAAATTTGGGTTGATCTCATTGGCCGTGTAAGCTCCATCTCGGATTAACTTTTATATAATACCGCCACTGTTGATCTGCGAAATGTTTGCTTAGAGTCGTGTTGATTAACTCAATCAAAGCATCAAAGCAGCGGACATTCTTGATCGAGATTTAATCCGAGGATAATACCGGTTGGAGTTTACCACCATTAGAGACATCCACTTTTGACGAAATTGAGTTGACTCGATTCAATTTTGTGTAATCTGGTCGACCGTGTACAACAACACTCATATGCGCTATCGAACCCAATCTTTGGTAGAATACACTCAAATCGGTCAAAACTGATCCATCTCAAAAATGGGTAAACTAAGTCGGGAGTGACAAGGTGACAAATGCTAAAAACCAACTTGAGCCCGGTCAATATTTTTCATTAGTCAACGCATGTCTCTCAACTTAACTTACCGATTTTTGAGTCGGTTCAGTTTTGACCGATCTGCGTGGGTTTTACTCAAATTTGGGTAGTTTTGGAATAGCTTGTAAGCTTTTCCTTCGGGACTCGTTTCCAATGCAAAAAGCTTATCGTGCACACAGTCGATCAGACCAACTCAAAATTGAGTCGAGTCAACTCAATTTTGCCAAAATGTTTTGATTTTTCCGGCTTTTTCAGGAAAAACTTCTCAAATATGAGGAAAAACGAGAAAGGTTTCACACCTCCTTTGGGTGGTAACATTTTGTGACGAATAAATTGTTTGTCAGAGTCCGAATATACCGATTATAGAACCAATTTTGACGTGATGGCGTTCACTGGCAGAATATTGGCGAAATATTCGAAGAATCGTTCCATACGCATCAATTTGATGTCAATGAGCAATAAAGCAATAAACTAAAAATTGTCCTCAGTAAGGTATTGATTTCACTTTTTTGATGCAACTAGGTTCCATTTCCTATAAGCTTTGCGATAATTGATGAGCGACCAAACATGCCGGCAGTGTGGCCAAACCTGACTTCATTCGGCATCGAGTTTTTGCGACCAATCGCGTCAAAATCGGTTCTATATACAAGAAACTCAAAATTCAGTGCCTGGCAATCAATTTGACTATAAAAACATTAAAATGATTGCGAAAACCTGATCCATAAACAATTTGAAATCCGGGTCAATATGAAATAAATTCCGGCTTCGAGAATTACAGAACTTTTAAACAGCTGAACTGTTCGGTAAAAATCATGCATTTTAATTTATTAGTTTTAAAGCCTCAATAAAAAACTTTACCCAATGGCAAGACTCGATTATTCAAACAAGGCTGACAGTGTTTTAAAATTAACTCTATGAGGTATGGTCGCACCAGATATGATATCGTTTGTGCATGGTACCCGTTTATAAGCTCGTTTATAAAGGCCCACGCTTATTAGATCCGGATCGGACGCAAAGTGACAGCTAAATCTATTGTCTAACAGTCAAATTTACGACAACGCAACGCAAACGGATCTAATGTGGCCTTAAGGGTAGATGCTCACCGTAAAAAGTTATTCCAGTTTGGAAGTTTATTTCGGGTCATATTGATCCCAACACCTAAAGAAGGTTAATACGGACCGCATATATGGAAACCGCATAAAGTATACCCCCGCGAATCCGAAACTCGCTAATCCGACGACTCGATAATCCGGACCCTGTTAATCTGGAAAATGTCGGATTAAAAAGTGTAAATATACGTTTGAATACATTGTGCTGCCAACTTTCACATGTGTGCTGTAAGCATGCAGTCTGTTTGTTTTGATTTTTTTAGTATGGATTTGACAGTCGGATTAGAAAGTCATAACCCGATAGTCCAGGCATAATTTTGTTGGATTAGCTGTATATGGATACTGTATATGGAGTCCACGTGGGATTTTGCCAAGGAACTTTCAATTCTGCACACCTTAATCTGTGCCGAGTGATTTAGTTGTGCCAAGCGGTATGCCGAACGTGCCAAAGTAGGCCGAAGTGTGCCAATCTAGGTGTTGATATCCCGTGAGTTCGGCAATCCTGAGGTTATAATGACATTTCTGATTGGGTTTAAATTTTGAATTTTGGAAGTAAATTTTCTTTGTTGAGATTTCTTTGTCATAAATTTGGCTTTTATTAACTATGAAAAACCATCCTCAAGCTCAATTTGTAAACAGAATAATTGGGGAGTCTATGATGCACTTTAAAAAGCCTAAAAAGCAACCATAAATGCTTTTTGCTCTAATGCAAAACCTAATTGTTTTTTGGTTGCTTTTATAATGATAGAACACGTTTGTAAAGAATTTTATCAAGACATTAATAAACAATTTCTAATGACGTTTATGCTTGAATTACAGAGCAGTTTTAAGGAGGGATTGAGAACTGTTTTAAATTTATTTTTAAAACAAGGCAGTTTTCGACTTTCTTGCCAGACTATAAAAGGTTAAGACCGTAAAGCATGGTACACGGTTAAGACCGTAAAGCATGGAGGTGGTAGCATCATGGTTTGGGGATGTTTTTCTTGGTATGGAGTAGGTCACATTTTCCGTATTAATTCCATCATGACCAGATTTGAATACAAAGAAATCATGGAGGAGGCTATGCTCTCTTATGCAGAAGAGAACATGCCTCTTATATAGCATTTTCAGTAAGACAACGATCCGAAACACACTTCTAACTATGTAAAGGAATGGTTTCGTGCAAACAAAGTGTCCGGTTATTTCCGAGGTTATTTCATGGCCTAGTCAATCTCCATTCGAAAATGTATGGAACGAGCTTAAATGAAAGTTATCTGGTCGAGCATTTTCAAATAAGGATCAATTATGGACCACAGTTCAAAAAGAGTGGTATGCCATACCAAAGGAAACTTGTCAGTGCTTGGTTGAGTCAATGCCAAGAAGATTGAACAAGGTTCTACTTAACAATGGAGGGCACAGCGGTTACTAAGCGTCATTAGTCTAATAAAACTTATACACTAATAAAATTCAATGATTAATTTTATGTGTCCCACACATGAATTTTTGCAATGTGATAAACAAATAATATATATGTGTCGGACACATAGTTTTTATGTGTACACATAAAATTCATGTGTAACCACACATACTATTCATTTGACTCATAAATTTCATGTGTACTTCTGAGTGGATTCTGTTTATGTGTGGACACATGAAAATCATGTGGAATTTTACATTGATATTCGCCAATAAAAATGTTTTGAATTTTTTTTTTTTTGTTAATTACTTTATTTGTACAGGCTCAATCGAATAAACTTTACAGAGCCAAGTTATCATTTTCTTTATACATTATAAATGTCTTAAATCTAAAATTAAAGGATTGGAACCGATTACTCGCGGTCTTCTCGAGGTTAGTGGATGACAATTGTTTGGATCGGGAGAGGGAAAAGGAGATTTGGAATATGATTTATGATTAAAAAATGTCACTATTTCTAAAACATATACTTAATCCTATCGACGTTATATCAACTCTGTAATTATACAATTATTACAGAAACAAATCTACAAAAAATAAATACACACACACATAAAAACACAAACTAAACACAAGGTTAATCAAACTTACAATCTATGGTTGATATTCTTCAAGAAAACATATATGAGTTGCATAAACTCCAGATCGCGTCTAGCCAAAATATCCCGAACTGGAACATTAGGTTGTCTACCTCGAGCCCGAAGGGAATCGTACAACTCGGATCTGACTCCACGGTACTCAGCACATGACCAAATAATGTGATCTGCGTCCTGGTAACCTTGTCCACATTCACAGAGATTACTGTCCCCCAGCTCAACACGGAACAAGTGAGCGTTTAACGAGTAGTGATTGGACATGAGGCGAGACATCATACGAATGAAGTCTTGACCCACATCCAACCCCTTGAAGCAAGGACACTTCGACACCTTAAGGATGATTGAATATAACCATCGTCTCAAACTCCCTTCACTCCATTTATTTTGCCAGCTGGCGAGGGACTGTTGACGATAAATGAAGAAAAATTCGTCGTAGGCGATTTGTCGATCGTAAATATCGCCTTCCATAGCGCCCACCTTTGCAAGCGAGTCCGCCTTCTCATTGCCCGGAATCGAGCAATGAGATGGGACCCATGCAAAGGTGATGACAAAAGATCTTAAAGATAAAGCACTTAGAAGCTCTCGTATTTTC